GAGAGACAGAGAGAGAGAGAGAGAGAGAGAGGCAGAGACACAGGCAGAGGGAGAAGCAGGCTCCATGCAGGGAGCTGGACATGAGACTCAATCCAGGTCTCCAGGATCAGGCCCTGGGCTGAAGGTGGCGCTAAACCGCTGAGCCACCCAGGCTGCCCCAAGACAACCGAAATTTAAGGTCAATTTAAAAACATCTTCTTTTTTCAATTTTAAAAATATTTTAATTAAAATTCTTAGTAATTGGGGCGCACCTTCGTGGCTCAGTCAAATAGGTACCTGACTCTTGATTAAGGCTCATGTCATGTCAGAATCACAGGATCCTGAGACTGAGCCCTGTGTCGAGCTCTGTGCTCCATATGGAGTCTGCCTGGGATTTTTCTCTCCTTCTCCCCCTACTTTACGCACTTGCACATGCGTGCATTCTCTCTCTAAAATGCAAATAAATAAAATATTTCTTAAAAAATAAACTAGTGATTAAGCACCCAAAGCCTACATGCCTATCCTTTCTTAAGCATCTCCCTTCCTTTAACCATACACGTATCAAACATCCAGGTTCTTGCTAAGAAATTAATAGAGCCTCTGCAAAGAAATGACTGTAAGTTAGCTACCAAATATGGAAATTTAGACATTATTATGATTATCATTTTCACTGTTACAAGGCACGTAATTACCAATCAATTTACTAGGTTCTTGGTCAAAGGCCATCATATCCATATAAATTAAGTTACAAAGCTCAATAAAACTTTGCAAAATTTCCCCTAGTGCATCTCCATGGTCTTCCTAAATACATACATTTCACCCACAGAACTTCCAAGAATATTTAACATGCAGCCCAGGTGTTTTGTTGCAGGTAGTTCAGTCTACACAGTGGATACAAACCAGTAGAATAAGCAGTCTTAAACTGCTGCCCAGTGTTTCTCTCAAACACATAGGTAGACATTTGGCCCTTAGGATATATGCTTAAGAATCTCTCTTCTGCTATCAAGACAAGGACCTGTTTAGCAATACTTACAGTTAACATTGGAGTTGTCAACAAGCCCCACGCAAAGAATTCTAGGAAGATGACAATAGCAGCATGGTATACACTTGGTCTGCCAAAGCCTTGTAGCTAAAAAAGGAAGAAAGTTATTATGAAAAACAGCAGACAGAAAAAAAAAAAAGCAGACAGATACAAGATCCATTTTGCTAAAATGGTATCTAACAACAACAACAAAAAATACTGTATGAAAAAATGCTGTATAAAATAAACTTAGGACCTACCTATATTATATACGATGAAACTTCATTCTGTGCCATCCCTGATGAATGAATCTTGCCTAATCATAGAAGATGCCAAAGTTATAAACTTTTTACTTGTCCCATCAACACAAATAACTGAGCTTTGGCTGAGAATCAACCGGGTCTTTAAGAGACTGAGGTTCTAAGACCTGACTATTCTGTCTCTTGCTAACAATGCGTTCCTCAGCAACTTGGCCTTTTATGTAAAGAGAAAGGCAGGCATGTAGGTCACTTGCTCAAAAGCTTCAGGGGCATCACAGATAATTTAAATGATGGGGGAGAAAGAATAAGGAAAATAGAGTCCATACTAAGGTGTCAATATCCAGCTTTCTGTTTCTGTTACATTTGGGTTTTTTTTTTTTGTTTTTCAAGATTTTATTTATTCATGAGAGATAAAAAAAAGACATGGGCAAAGGGAGAAGCAGACTCCCTGTGGGGAGCCCCACACAGGACTCAATTCTAGGACCTGGGGATCATGAGCCAAGCCAAAGGCAGACCCTCAACCACTGAGCCGCCCAGGTGCCCCTGTTTCTGTCACATTTGAAGACTGTCTATTCTGCTAGTTATCTGCAGCTTATGACTTCAGGAAATAAATCGATTTAGCACGCTTTGCTACCTACCACTTGGTAGTAACTGGAAGTGATGCCTGCAGTAAAATCCATGCTATGTCTATGCTTAATATTTTTAAGTCTTTAAAAGTTATAAAGAAGGCACCTGGGTAGCTCAATGGTTGGGCATGTGCCTTTGGCTCAGGTCATGATCCCAGAGTCCTGGGATCAAGTCCCATATTGGGCTCCCCACAGGGATCCTGCTTCTCCCTCTCCCTGTGTCTCTGCCTCTCTCTCATGAATAAATAAACAAAATAATAATAATAAAAAGGCAGAAGTAAAAAAATAAAAAATAAAAAATAAAAAAATAAAAATAAATAAAAAGGCAGAAGTAAATCTGCATCACTTGACTGGAATCTAATCATAAGGAAATGATTGATCAGACAAATCCCAATTGTGGGACATTCTACAAGACAACTGGCTTGGTCTCCTTAAAAATGTCAAGGTCATAAAAGACGAAAGTGAAGGTAAGGAGACTCATGCATACTGAAGGAGGGCAGAGCCACAACAAAATGGGGGATCTTGGACTGGATCCTGGGGGGAAGGGGAGCAAAAGGATAAAATCTGAATATGGACTTTATATAAAATAATCATACAGGTGTTCTCGATTTCTGCAACTGTCAAATGGTTTGGGGGAAAAAGTTGGTACATACATAGTTCCTAAAGCAAATGTCACAAAATGCTAACTGCTGAATTTAGATGAAAGGAATATAATTTTACTTTTTATTTTTTTTTGTAGTTTTGAAAATTTTCAAAGAGCCAAGAACAAATGTTATTAAAAATACAAACTTGTAAATTTCTAAATTTTCAATGTCCAATGAAAACTACTTTTAAAAGCCATTAAATAAGACATTTACAAAAAAAGAAAGCATTGTACAAAGTTTAAGAGAATATTTAAGCATGTAAGAACTCAACTCTCCAAGCCAAAAGCCCTTGAACATAACCTTCAAAAAGTACTAGATTTCCATAGTCCTTTACTAACAGAATAGTGCATGGAAATGGCAGCAACTCTTTAGCATCCGCCTGTGATTTAGCTTTCTGCTAAGCCATTCCAGCTGCTAGACATGGAAACTTGGCTATCACCCTTGCTCTCCCCACACTGCCTTCCGTCTAGTCCTCTAGCATCTCTTGTCTAGATTACAGAGTAGCTTCCTACGCTTGCTCTTCACCCACTGCACATCAGCCACCATGCCCCATTTATTTATTTATTTTTAAAGATTTTATTTATTTATTCATGAGAGACCAGAGAGAAAGATGGAGAGAGGCAGAGACACATGCAGAAACACAGGCAGAGGGAGAAGCAGGCTCCATGCAGGGAGCCAGACACGGGACTCAATCCCGAGTCTCCAGGATCCTGCCCTGGGCCGAAGGCAGGCACTAAACTGCTGAGCCACCTGGGCTGCCAGTACCATGCCCCATTTAAATAGAAGTCAGAGCTTGGCAACTCCTCTGCTCCACTCTCTGAAATGTCCAGGGCATTCACCCCACATCCCACTTGTCCAACATCTCCCTACCTCCTTGTTATGCTCTTATTGTTTTCTAGAGGATTTCCAACAAACTTCATAATTCATTTTTGTCTTCTGCCCATGGAATGGTAATTTAAATGCTATGAAGGAAATCATTTTTGTCTTTGTTCAATGATGTATCCAAACAGCCCTTCTCTGACCCCACTAAAGTAATAAGCACTCCACAAAATATGGAAGAAGGATCTCTTCTTCTGAGACGAACATCTTTTCTCTGATCTTTTTAAACAGCAAAACCTAAAATGTAGAAACATTTTTGAAGCAGATGGCCCAGTTTCTTCAATATGGGCAAAGAAAAAAAAGAAAAAGGAAAAGGAGGGAGAACTATGTTTGAATATAGATTAAAAGAAATTTAAGAAATATTAACCAAAATCAGTATGTGAGACTTTGGAGTTTAACACAAACTACCTGGAAAAAAAGGCAATTGTGAGACAATCATGGAAATTTGAAAACGGACTGGGTATTAGCTAATACTAAAGAAGCAGACTCCTTGTAATAATAGTATTGAAGTAAGGTGTGTTTTTTAAAGATCCTTCTCTCTTAGAGATACACACTAATGTATCTGTGAAATAAAAAGTATGTTCAGAATCTGTTTTAAAATCTACAGAAAAAAATGTAGAAGTGGTGGCAAAAATGAAAAAAAGTAAATCAGCATATATGCATTACTAATAATTTCTAGTTATTTGGGTAAAAATTCTGATAGTCACCCATCCCACACTACAGAACAATTGCTTACGAACACTGGGTGAACATGTCAATAAATATCCCAACTATTTATTGCTCTTGAATCATTCGTTTTATTTATTAAGCATCATGCATACAAGAATCTCAAAAAACTCTGAAAATAGCACACAGTAGGAAGCATAAGAAGGCAATCCTATTTCTCATTTGCAGTTTCTGTGTTTTGGTGCTTTCGTCAGCAATGAAGCTATTAGGGAGACCACTGAGATAGAGATCCATGTGATGTGACAGCAATGCTGAGTAAACATAAAAACAGATAAACACTTTAATCTGTGTGATACATCTTTAGGATATTATGCTATCTTAACACCTTACCAAAAAAACAGATAACCTTTTTGTTTACATGTGATATATAGGTTTAGATGCATCAACTAGAAATTGTTTAACAAACACCTGTTCTAAAACGCACACCTTCTTATTCTCACCTCTACATAAATTACTTTAATTAAATTATCATTTATTCCTAGCCAATACCAGTGCTACATAAATGTAGAATGACAGGCAGGCAGACCTTGGTAAGGTGGGAACTTAGTGTGGGCAACTGGATATAAGAAGGTGACAAAAATAAATCTGCATTCCCTCCAATTCTTTCTAAGGTCTTGGTGGCCAGTATGCTGATAAAAACAGTATCACAAGTTTCTCCCCTAAATTATCTGAGCTAACCAGAAAAACTTTAACAAAACCTAACCAATCATTTCTAGTTGAACCTAATCTAGTGCAGCCTCTCTGGATCACTTCAATGTCTTTTCTCTCCATTTGCCCCTTTATAAATCAGTACAGATCTTGAGATATTTAGATGATAAATATGTGGTGATGTCTTTATACATTCATACTACCATCTCTCCCACAGGCAACTGCAACAGTCTCTTAACCCTACCCTGACTTCACTTCCCTGCCTTCTCCAAATCTTTCTTGATACTACACTCAGAGTGATCACTCTAAAATAAAATATACATGTCATCCTGTGATACCTGCAGAAGACGGCAGAAACTGAGCTACAAATTCTGAACCTCATTCCTGTGCATGTAATCCTTTTGCAATGTGACTGTGCTGTGTATGCCAACAGAAAGTGGAGTCTATTTCTCCATATCCCTGGATCTGGGCTGGCTTTACAACTTGCTCTGACCAACAGATGTCAGGTGAAGGGACAACATGGACGTCTGAACCTAGCCTCCAGAGGCCTTCAAGACCACATGAAAACACCTTCTAGACACAAGAGGATGAAAGCATATAAAGTCCTCCCTACTAAGGCCACCTAGGCCAACCAGTGAACAGCTATTACCAACTGCCTGACAGAGGATCAAGGCCGTCTTAAATCCAACAACTCCATCAAGCTTGCAGATGACTACAGAAGCACAAGTAACTCCAAACAAATCCAGTGAAGAACCCCAAGCTGAGCTAGCCCAAACAACTGTTATTAATGGTTGCTGTTTTAAGGCCACTAAATTTGGCTTTATGTAGCAATCCTTAAGTGATAAAGTCCCCTCCTCTGCCCTCATGTTTAAGTTTAAACTCTTAAAACTGTCTTGAGATCCCTTTTGCAGTTCTCTAATCTCATCCCTCAGCCCACACATACTTGAAAATCAACACAGGGAAACTTCTCTAAAGTGGAGCCAAAAGGCCCTCGCTCCAGGGTGTGAACTCGTGATTTTCCTAGCATACTGAAGTTAGCTTGTAGGTGAATAAAAGGCATGGTCCCCAGTATTGTGTTTAAAAGACTGTCTGTATACTACCCATCATAGGAAATATTAAACACTGAATGGGGGGGGCGCAGGTGGAGGGAAAGGGAGAGAGACCCTGAGATGATAATCTGAGCTGAAACTAACAGTCAGATGCTCCACCAACTGAACCACCCAGTCACCTCTATTTTAAAACAACTTAAAACCTACAGAAAAGTTGCAAAACCAGCACAGGGTTCTGGTATATCCTTCGCCAAACTTCCTCAAATATTAATGTCTTTGATAACTATGGTACTATTACCCAAACTTAGAAATTAACATTGCTATACTACTTAAGCTAATTTATATGTGTTATATGAATGTCACCATTTTCCCCACTAACGTTTTCTTTTTCCTGATTTAGGATCTAACCCAGGATTTAGCACTGCATTTTGTTCTCATGTTTTCTTGGATTATTCCAATCTGAGATAGCTACTAAGGCTTTTATTTTTTACTTTCGTGATCTTTACACTTTTGAGAACCACTGATATATTCTTTACCAGTCATTTTGTAGAATGCCCTTCAATTTGAATTTGTTTAATACTCTCATTATTAGATTGAGGATATGCATTTTTTTAATTTTTTCTTCAGCTATAATTCACATTCCATTACATTAGCCGTTTTCAAGTGTACAGGTCAATGTTTCTTGGTATATTCACAGGTTGTAAAATTACCACCATTATCTAGTTCTGGAATATTTTCATTACCCCAAAAAGAAACCTAATATCCATCAGCAGTCACTCCCCATTCTCTCCTCACCCCATTTCGCATTTCGTAGCAATGATTAATGTACTCTATCTCTATGGATTTGTGTATTCTGGAGTCATATTAAATGGAATTCACAAATTGAATCATATAATATGTTGCCTACTGTGCCTTGCTTCCTCCATTTAGCATGTTTTCAAGAATCATCCATGTTCATCATTCAATTTTTTTAAGATTTTATTTATTTATTTATGAGACAGAAAGAGAGAAAGAGAGAGAGAGAGAGGCAGAGACACAGGCAGAGGGAGAAGCAGGCGCCATGCAGGGAGCCTGATGTGGGACTTGATCTCGAGTCTCCAAGATCACGCCCTGGGCTGAAGGCGGCGCTAAAATGCTGAGCCACCCAGGCTGCCCCATCATTCAATTTTATGGCCATATAATACTCCATTATGTGAATATATTGCTTTTTTTTTATTCAATTGTAATAAAATTACAATTGTAATAAAAAAGTTGTATAGGGGCACCTGGAGGGCTCAGCAGGTTAAGCAACAGCCTCTTGGTTTTGGCTCAGGTCTTGATCTCAGGGTTGTGAGATCCAGCCCCACATTGGCTCCACAATCAACAGAGTCTGCTTGAGTCTCCCATTCTCCCTCTGCCCCTCCCCCTGCTCATGTGCATTCTAAATAAATAAATAAAATATATATTTTTTAAAAGCTGTACATACTGTGGGTGAAAAAAATACTTCAACTTACTATGTCAGTTAATATCTCTAACATAAAATGTTTCTTAAAAAAAAAAAATCAAGAAGAAAAAGACTAACAACCCAACAAAAAGATGGGCAAGAGATATGAACAGTTCATAGAATAAGATATCAAACAGCCCTTCAACTTTATTCATAATAAGAAAAATGCAAAATCAAGCTATAGTTAGACATAATTCCTCACTATTGGAATGGCAAAAATTTCAGAAGTTTGACAATATGACCACACACTGCTAATGGGGATGAGAAATGGTACAATGTGGCAATACTTACATATTTATCTTCTGAAGCAACAACCCCACTCTAGGGATTTGTCATAAGACAATATGGCAAAAATATGAGGTGTCATGTGCATATGGCTACCATAGTAGCCAAACAAAAAGCAAGGTACAGAATAATGTGTAATATACAGTATCTTTTATACCTGGGAGGACTGAAGAATATGTGAATATGAATGCTTACACATTTGCTTAAACAAAACACAAGATGTCAAGAAAAATAAGCATCCAAGCTATTACATACCGGAAGGAGAGAAGGGAGTTAAAGTGACAGGATGGAAGCTAGATTCCATATGTTTCTTGATACGTTTAAACTTTGGAACCAGGTAAATCCTTTAGCTAATTCTAAAACAAAATCAAATCCAAATTAAATATGTCAAACATACCTATTTATCAAGTTGTGGTTCAGCTGCTTTAAAACACCAAATCTGAATGAATATCCTTAGAAGCTATATTCTAAGGGTAAAAAGAAAATCAAACCTTAAACCGTTTTAAGTAATCATGTTGGTAGTAATAATGTTTTTATATTCTGAAACTTTCAAATATAAGAATACAATAAACAAGTTACTATGCTATTGTCACTAAGAACCAAGATTTCCCTTGTAATAGAGAAGATACAAATATAAAATCAAAATAGAAAAATTTGAAATTCTAAATTTGGTTTAAGAAAATAGGGATCCCTGGGTGGTGCAGCGGTTTGGCGCCTGCCTTTGACCCAGGGCGCGATCCTGTAGACCCGGGATCGAATCCCACGTCGAGCTCCTGGTGCATGGAGCCTGCTTCTCCCTCTGCCTGTGTCTCTGCCTCTCTCTCTCTCTGTGACTATCCTAAGTAAATAAAAATTAAAAAAAAATTTAAAAAGAAAATATACACACTATGATATACATTACCTTAATGAGAAAACAGTTAAAATTTTCTAGTTCTAGCCACTGAAAAGACCTAGAAAAAATGAGCAACCATACAGGTGCAAACACCCCTTATGGCCCAAGATTGTGTTCTTCGAATATCATTTCCCACTAAAAGAAAATGGGGCTTTTTGGACAAAGCTGATTCCAGGTTTGGGGCAAGAAATTTATTTGATTCTGGAACCTATCTTGCCAAAAGCAAAGATGTTACTGAAAACTATAGTCACATCAAAAGGATTCAGGAGCCAACCTGAGGAATTACTACTGGACAAAGACTGAGTAAAAGAGTAATATCTGGCATGGATTGAAACATATCATATGTGTTCAATTTTACAAGTTCATCAATCTTTGGAGGATGCTAGAAAACCAAGCCGTCATTCTGAAAACTGCTAAATAAGGAAAGTGGAAAAAGGAAGCATTTATCCCGCTCTTCTGTATCCTAGGATAACCAAATATTTGACTAGGAAAAGTTCTTTTTAGGAATTTTGATAATGAATGAAGGAATGATTAACTTAAAATCTTGCCACTTTGTGGGATCCCTGGGTGGCACAGTGGTTTGGCGCCTGCCTTTGTCCCAGGGCGCGATCCTGGAGACCCGGGATCGAATCCCACATCGGGCTCCCGGTGCATGGAGCCTGCTTCTCCCTCTGCCTGTGTCTTTGCCCCTCTCTCTCTCTCTCTGTCTCTCTCTCTCTCTCTCTGTGTGTGTGTGTGTGTGTGTGACTATCATAAATTAAAAAAAAAATCTTGCCACGTTTTAACCTCACTAATATAGTCAATTTAGGCAACAACCACTAATGGCTGTTAAAACCATTAGGTAAAAGCTGATATGTTACTTTATAAGGGAATTAAGCTGACAAGACTTCCTTAAACCTGATCAATTATAACATCACAAAGAGAGTCAAAGGTTATTTGTTGCATGATGAGATACACAAGAAATAAATAACTTATAAGGTATCCCTGCCAAGATAAAACAAAGCAAACACAAAACCTGGATTCAATTCAGCTAATATGTAAGGACCAGCTTAATAAAAATACAGGTGTAATAAGATTGGCCTTATGTGTTGGTTTTTTTATTTTGGCCTTGTATGATTTTAACTGTTGAAGTAGGGTGATGAATATGGGGGAGTATTCATAACAAAATGTTGGAAAACTAAAAAGCTTCAAAGAGGTTGTAAAAAAAAATTTGTAGGAGCTACTTGTGGTACCATTAACAGTGTTTAAAAATACCTGTCTCCCCATATCCTAAGACTGCAAATAATTTTTAAGTATTTTCTAGTTAGACTTTTTAATGTTTATTGTTTATTTAATGTTTATATCATTTTATTTTGCACTTCTGTGATTACAAGAGAAGTAGAACTTCCTCCCTATACTTTTTTGAAAGTTATTTTTATTTGTCTACAAACTGTTCATTCCTTCGCATATTTTTTCATTGGAGAATGGAATCTTTCATGTTTATTTATAGGACTTCTTCACAGTACCAAAGATATTTATATTATGTAATATTAAATCATTCATTCTCCCTCACCTACTGGCACTTACACCCTTTAAAAATAAATAGCACAAACAGATAATTCAACAATAATAGTTGGAGACTTCCATACCCACTTATAATAATGGATAGAACAATCAGAAGTTCAACAGAAGCAAAGATTTTAATAACACTACATTAAGTAAACCTAACAAATATTTACCGATCACCCCACCCAACTACAGCAATACATTCTTCTCATGTGTACACAAAAATACCATAAAACAAGTTTAAATAAATTAAAAAGACTGAAATCATATAAACTACATTCTTTTGACCACAATGTAATGAAACTAGAAATCAGTAACATAAAGAAATATGGAAAATTCACAGATACATGGAAATTAAAACAATATGCACCTAAATAGCTATAGGTCAAATAAGAAATCACAAGGAAGGTCACGAAACTTTCAGATGAATAAAAATAAAAACAACATATCAAAGTTTGTTGAATTCAGTTAAAGCAGTGCTTACAGGGAAGTTTATAGTTGTAAATGCCTTATTATTCAAAAAAAAAAAGGAAAAAAAATCTGCTATCAATAACCTAACTTTTCACTGTAAGAAACCAGAAAAGCAAAACTAAACCAAAGCAAGAAAAAGTAAATAATAATGGGTTACAGCAGGAATAAATACAACAGTGAACAGAAAAGCATCAGAGAATTATCAAACTATCATACTATCAAAAAATAATGAAACTATTAAAAAATTAACAAATCCTTAGTGAGACTGACCACAAGAAATAGAGGGAAGATTTAAATTTCTAAAATTGGAAGCAAAATATTTATCAGCAATTGTAAGCCAATGGATTGGATAATCTAGATGAAATGGACAAATTCCTAGAAAAGTCTACTAAGACTGAATCATAAAGAAATAGGATATATGAATATACCTAGAACTAGTAACAGTATTGGAACAGTGATCAAAAATCTCCCAATAAAGAAAAGTCCTGGATTTCATGGCTTCATTGGTAAATTCTACCAAACATTTAAACAAGACCAAACGTCAATCACTCTCAAAGTCCTCTCAAAAATGAAGAGGGAACACTTCCTAACACATTCTATGAAGAAAAAGCATTTACCTGTACCAAAGAAAAAGATGCAAGAAATAGTGCAGATTAATTTCCCTTATGCTAACGATACAAAAATCCTTAACAGGATACTAGCAAACTAAATTCAGCAGCCTATTTAAAGGGCTCTAATAGGGATCCCTGGGTGGCTCAGCGGTTTCGTGCCTGCCTTTGGCCCAGGGCACGATCCTGGAGTCCCGGGATCGAGTCCCGCGTCGGGCTCCCAGCATGGAGCCTGCTTCTCCCTCTGCCTGTGTCTCTGCCTCTCTCTCTGCCTCTCTCTCTCTCTCTCTCTCTCTCTCTCTCTCTCTCTCTCATGAATAAATAAATAAATAAAAATAAATCTTTAAAAAAAAAGGGCTCTAATAACTATAGCCAAGTGAGATTCATTCCTGGAATATAAGAAAAGTTCACATATGAAAATCAATCAACAGAACACACCACATTAAAATGAAGTGGGGGAGGAACAGACACAGGATCATTTCCACTAATGCAGAAAAAGCATTTGACAAAATTAACAGCTCTTCATGATGAAAATTCTTAAAAAGTAGAAGAAATTATCTCAATATGGTAAATGGCACATAAGAAAAAATCCACACCTAATATCACAGTCACTAGGTGAAAGGCTGAAAAAAACGTTTGTTTTAAGATCAGGAACATGAAGAGGATGTTTGCTTTCAACACTGTATACAATGCAG